GAATTATTGGAAGATATCACACATGACCACCTTTGCCACCTGCAGTAGGAAGATGAACAAGTGAAAGTCAGAGGTCGTTTTGCTTTTTAAATGAAAGCTACAGGGTCAGAGTGTACAGTGACACGTATCCTTGGTTAGTGAGTTACTGACTGGACCATTAGAGTATTAAACGGCACTAGTCTGAGAAGACATGATGGTTCAGAAAGAGGTTGAAGAAGCACAGGACCTTTTCTTAGCCCCACTCTTCTTTAGGGGGCAGTTGAGAGTCTGCAGTGCTGGCACAGTAACTGGAAAAGTGCATATCTAGAAGCAATAGAGAATTTTTGGTAATCTTGAACCAGGTTCCAGTGCAATTTGCAATTGATTTTTTTCTTTTAAAATTGAAAGGATGTCCTTATCATTTTGGCTAAATTGCTAAATGTGCCATTGCATTCTGCACCTCAGATATAGCTATAGATGTTAAGAAGGAAACTTTTCTTACCCTCTTTCTGTGGGATCACCCAGCAGCTCTTGCTTGGTACTACAGAGCAAGTTGACGGGGGGTTGTCTCTTACACTAAGACTAAGCATACTTGAGTGACAAGCATGGTGAATCCACAAACAATATCCTCTTCTAGGGTCTGCACTTCTAAGAGTCTACAGAAGTTGTGTGATGAATTTTCCACAGGTCACCCCAATACCCTAAATGTAGCCATAAATTTATATCTTTTAAAACCCACACGGAGAGAAAGTCTACAAGCTATCACAGGATTTCCCTGAAAAGCCATTCATGTTAGTGATAACTTTAGAGAATAATAGATTAATGTATGAAGAGTGATTAAGTTAAAAAATTATTACAGTCAACGACATATTGCCATTAATCCCCGTAAAATGCCCCCCCTTAAACACACTTGTCTCATGCCCTTGCCCCTTTCTCAAGCACTCCTAGAAGTTCTCTTTCGTGAGTGTCTTTTTGAGGTGGATCAAAAATGAGGTGAATACTGTTGCCTAGTGTATCCATTGAAAAAGTGAAAAGATGACAGTGTGTCCTCATCAGTGGATCCGGCACTGTGCGATTTAGGGCTCTTCCCCAAAGTCAAAATGACTGTGAAAAGTAAAGGCTTTAACCAGTTTCAAGGCATCGAGGCAGACATAACAGCACAACTAAAGACATTCACGAAAGGGGACTTCCAGAACTGCTTCAGAAAATGGCAAGAACTATGAGATAAATATGTTTGAAGAGATGGGGAATATTTGAGGGAGATTAACAGTGATGTGTCTTTTACTATAATACATTTTATTTTAGTTTAAACATTCACCGTATTTCTTATCACTCCACTTATTTATAGATAGAAAATTCATGTGGCTCTCAGCATCCAATGACCCTGTTGCATGCTGTATCTGTGTTGGCCTTATGGAAGTGTGCATATGGAAAACTGCACTCTCTTGCTTTTTTCTCCCACCCCTCTGACAACTTCTTAGTCTCTTGGCTCTTATGTCCCACTTCAGATGCTCTCTCTGGATAACGTTACCCACTAGTAGATTTTCACTTATCAAGTCTGTGATGATTCTCAAGTCTAAAATCTTGAGGCAACACTGTTCTAAAATTCCAGAGTTCGTTATCCAATTAATTACCACATATTTGGGACACAGATGTCCCCCGGATGCTTCAAACTGAGCCTGTCCCACATTGTCAGAGCCCCCCTCCTTGTGATCTGCATCTCAATTAGCAGTGCCACCTCTACCAGCATCTTCAGATTCACCCTCTTTCCTTAATTCACAATCCAGTCCTGTCATGTACTACTGACTGCATCTCTCCCAAATCTCCTAGATCTACCCCTTTCGCTGCATCTGCTTTGGCACGTATGGTGCCTAGCTCTGCAGCACTTCCTGTTTGGGTTATCCGTTGGACTCCGTAGTCTCAGTCTTGGAGACTGACCTTTTTCAACTGTAATTCATACCTGCCATTCTCCCCAGAGCCAGTAAAGGCTCTTCCTTGCTCTTAGGATAAAAGCAAAGCCCTTTAACATAGCTTACAATTCCTGTAAGCTCTTGGACTCTGCTGACCCATTATCTTTTTATCTTTCACTTCTTCCATGTTATCCCCGTGCTACTGAATGTCTTCTGGTTCTTTCAAACTTTCTTTAACTCCCAGATCTTCCCTCATGGTGTTTGTCGCCTTCTGCCTCATTGTGTTTGCCCTCTTTATCCCTAGATGATGCCATTTGCCCTTCAATCTTCTGTAGACTCGGCCACTTTAGGATTCTTCACCCAGGATTTCAGCTTTCAGCAACTGTTCCTCCTACGGTCCCTCTATACTCCCACACACCCTAGCATTTATCTGTGGATATGCTTGTCTCTTCAGAAATTTTTGTTTTTCATTATCCTATAAGTTCTGTGAAGACAGTGACATGGAAAACGTCTACTATCTAGTCGGTAGATAATCAATATTTAGGGAAAAGAACAAATAAATGCTCTACAACAGGACCCATCAATCCTAGCAGGGCCTGACTTGCTGAGTGAGACAAGTAATGTGTCTCCTCTACTTCGTTTCACAGAATTCAGTGTTGGTAGTAGCATAGTAAAACAGAGAGGAAGGCTTACAGGATCTCTGGGATCATCTTCATTTGAAAGCTGAAATAATGAGAGGATGTTCACTGATTACGCCCCCTCATAGGATGTCTCCTGTAACTGCGGCCCACTACGCTTTTAAATTTTGACCACTGTGTTATCTAGAAAATAGTGCCTCACTTCTCGGGTTGGTTTGGTTTTATTTGAATTTCTCTGGGTTACTGTTGAGTCAAGCATATTTCTAATGTTTAGCAGCCAACTGAGGTTTCTCTGTATTCAGTTGCCTATTTATAAAAGTTGCCCATTTTTTACTGGATCATTTGTTTCTTCTTACAGGTTTTGGCAATTCCTCATATGTATTCCATATACTAATTCTTAATTGTTTATATGACTCATAAATATCTAATAAATTTGAACATACATATCCCCTGTGACTCTATGCTTGGAAACACTCTCTTTTCAGAGAAACTCTCTCATACATGCCCAAAGAAATATTTGAGATGTTTCCTATGGTGTTTCCTAAGCTCAAATTGGAAATACCTAAATGTACATGTACCTGCTCATGCAACTACCTACTCTTGAATGAATCATTAAACTGTGTTATGCTCATATAATGGATATGGAGTTTAAATGAATGGACTAGTTTTATAAATTAGCAATAGAGATGGTACCAGAAAATATTTTTTTCTTTTTATTGAGTTTATTGGTACAATCTACGTATACAATAAAGTTACATTCATCATTGGGATCCTGTACCTTTACATAATAGGTCTTGATTCTCATTTTTTCCCCTTGTCCCTGCTCTCCCTTCACCCCCTCCTCCCCTCCCCATTTACAAACACTTTATTTCCATTTTTTCAGTTTCTCATATTTTTTCCTCTCCCTTATTACCTTTCCCCCACCCTTCCCACTTTCCCTACACCTTTAGCCCTTTACTTCCTATTTCACATTATTAATTATCTCATTAGGATCCTGTGTACTATTATAGTTTTTCACACCAGAGAAACTATTCGGTATTTCAGTTAAAGAAATCTCTGTATGAACATTACAAATGGGGAATCCTAAAATAAAACTAAAAAGGAAAGTAAAAGAGAAAAGGCAATGATGTAACATTAAAATAATCCTTAATTCTGGAGATGAAAATGGTCCCTGAACATATTTAAATTGCTTCTTGCTCTTGTAGTCTTATCTTATTCTTTTTTTCATTATTTAGAGAATACTTTATTAGTTTCTGTAATCAAGCCCACATAGATATGACCTTACATATTTAGTACAATGCATTACCCCCTGTACACAGGGAATAAAAAAAAAATTAGTTTTTCTAGACCAATATGGCTGTCCATTTCTGTACAATGCCAACTCAACACAGTAAATTGGGATAACTTTTTCCAAAATTGACAGCACTGTTAAAGTTTCCCAAAATATAGGTA